TTTTCAACATGGAATCGGCACAAAAATAGACGGTAAGAGAGTCTACTATTGACTGGAAAAGTACTCTTACTACACCATTACTCCACTTTAAACAACAAACACGTCAAGGAAAGGGGGTAGAAGAAAATGGCATGGCCATGGAGAACGTCGGGTGTGACCTTTGCGGTTAGAGGAGGCGGGAGGGGGGGGGGGGGGAAGCGTGAACGATGACGAGAGGGGCACACATACTTGAACAGAACGGGACGAACGACAGTTGAAATCGTCCCTCCCATTGGGAACAAAGCCAAGGACCGCTTTTGGCGTTTTTCATGTTAAAATTGCATGGGAAGGATACTGTGACTGAATATGGCGATGGCGAGGCCCCGCCGAGGTGAACGGGGGGTGAACGGGGTCGTGCTTACGGGGGAGAACATGAACAGCTATGATAGCGAATAGCTAGCTATATGTTGCTGCGTATACGAGTTGATTTAGCGGTTAGCCAGCCCCCTCCACCCCCTTTCAACCCCCCCCCCCCCTCCCCGCGCATATCGCGTTCGGATACGATATGAATCTTTGCAGATACCGGATGGGGTGAATACAAGCGAAAGTCGGGTTTTGCCACGAACGGCTGACAAACATCGCCCCGCGCTCACCTTAACCCTGTTCTTCCTTCCCTCCCCCCCCCCCCCCCGCCACCCCCTTGGTCATAATTCTTCCTTTCGCGTAGGGAATGCCATCCCAGAACTTCCTGATGTGTTGCTTTGTGTATGTATGCGTTGACCACACACACCAGTTATGTGATCAAATGTGTTGTTAGAGCGATGACCGGTTGATGTTCGCTCTAGGGTGGTGAAAGCAAACAGGTATTAGCCATTTAGCCATTGCTAATAATGACTTTTTTCCCCCACACAAGCATACGAGTTCAAACATTCGCATCACTGCACCCAAAATCGAATTAATCTTTTCGTTGAAGAAGGAAGAAGCATAGATCAAACCTTGAGATCAATCCTGACCCCCTTCAAAAACTGAAGAGAGGACTTTTTTGGAGAATTGTACGGCGGTACAGAGTCATGTTGTTCATAAGCCTTTCACCAAAAAAATCGTTCTAAGTACGTTTGATGTTTCCGCTTATGTTACATATTTCTGTAACATATAATCAGTGGCAGTCCCAGGATTTCGGACCGAGGGGGGCGGGGACAAAAAATATTTCTGGTAAAGGTACGCGGCTTGCGCCACGCTCTCCAAAAGAATTCTGAGACCCTTCCCAAAATTTTTGTGGGCCCATGACTCGAAAATATATTAGAAAAGGGGGCGTGGTTGCCGCCACGCGCCGAAAAAAAAATTTCTACAAGGCTAATTTAAATTATTAAAAATTTTTGAAAAATACTTTAATTATTTACAAGTATAAACAAGTCACTTCCACATTTTTTCAACCCATATAATTAACTTTCAAAAATTCCGCGACCCATTCTCGGGTGAGGGGGCAATGTATCAAATAAATTACCTATCATCTATTGTAATATGTGAATATTTTATTTACTTAGTATTACTTGTGAAAAAAACCTGAAAATCATAAATGTTTTATCAGTACGAGCTTGTACGTACAGTCAAATCTCTAATCGAGTTTTATTGATTTTCTACATTTCTAGCGATCAAAATATGAAAAAGAACGATTTGCATGTTTCATTTTATTGTAACATGTAAGGTTTTATTTATCTACTATGGTTTACTTGTAAAAAAACAAGAAAATCATAGCTATTCGATCAGTACGTTTTTCTTAATTGATACCACAACAAACCTCAAAATCTTCTTGGTCCTTCTAGCTTTTTTTGCGTTCAAAATATGATAAAGTACGCTTTGCCTGTCAGTTTATTAGGATCAGTCACAGCAATATGCCAAGAAAGATCTGCATAGAGAGCTTTCAAGAAGTGTCATCTTCTTAAACGACCGAATCTGACAAGTTTTTGAAACCAGTTTTGAGATTTTTTGAATATCATATTTTGGTGCGAGACTCATGGGTTGATTTCATACATGATTATGCCATTGTGTTCCTTTATATCATAATGATTTTACGTTGAAATTTTACACATTTTGGACTACGTTCTACAAACTTTTTCAGGAAAATCGGACCTGCTTCTCAAAAACATTGCCTCAGACCAATACGAGAGCTGAGCGCTCGAAAATCTCATCGTTCTCGTTTTTGCGCCAACATCAAATGGAAATCATTTCCATATTTTCAATTTATACCTGACATGTAGAAATATCTATTTTTTAGCTCTTATTTTGGAAAAATTTGGTTGTCAATGCCTTTTGACTTTTGTGTGATTGCCACTGTTTTCTTTTGTTAACAAAAAGAAAAAGAATCACGATTGCCTTCATTCTTGCAGAACTCATGAAGAGTTTTTACTTGGTGTTACAGCTCATTTGGAGTTGACAGCTTCTGTTTCTATCCCAGTAACGGTGCCGAGAATTTGCACAGTTTTTAGCTCTGAAATTTGATAAATCGTGACCATTTCAAGTGATTGCTTTACTGTGATAGAAGTTGCAGTCCAATAGCATGAAAGTTAAGACTGGTAAATCGGTTTATTGAGAATGCATCTTATTGGCAAGGATTTCGTGAAGTAGTGCGTCTATCAAGAAAAGTTTTTTATTTTAATATTTGTGAATCATCATCGGTGTTCTACGCCATCTTCGATGGATTAAATGACTATGCAAGAATAACACGATTAGCATCTTTTCAGAACAATCAACGCAAAGCTTAACTAGGAGAATCATTGGAAAGAAGAAATTCTTCTCTTTCTGAAGCCTTTGAAGATAAATCCGTGAATAAGGAACAGATGCAACGACTTTTGGGGCAGTGAAGAGTTTTTCTAAAAATGAGCCTGAGTAATCGCTGACAATCTTTGAAAATTTCTCACCATCAGCGAAAGTTTTAGCACGCGGAAGCACTACTATAACAGTTTCTAAAAATTACTTATTAAGAAAACTGTAATTATCATCCAGGGGAGGCGATGTGGGTTCCCCCAAATAGGAAAGAAATTTCTCGTTTTCGTACGTATCTGAAGCTTTTAATTAAGCAATCAGTCTATGAATCAGACCCTTTCAGAAGATTCTTTCTTTTAGATGGCGTCCTTGATTTCTGGACTATGAAGAGCGGATGCTTGTGTGTTTGTCACTACCCAGCATTTTACACCTATCTTCTTTGGCCTGTGTAGTTCAAGAATCCATACATGGTATCCACTATGATCTTGTCAACAATAACAACAACGTTCAGAAAGTGACAGGATGGTGCAGTGCCAAGAGGCGCTGTCATTGTTCGGTTTGTAAATGGTTCGACGACCGTCTCACAACTAATGATTTGCCAAAGAACATTTTATCCCATCAACAGCATCAGAGCAAATGGCCCATAACAAGTTGAAAAAAGTCCAGGAGCAGTCGATAGGTACCTCGAACTTGGGTAACTAAATCAAAAAACCAAGTAGTTACTTATCATTAACAAACAATCTGTAATCCTTTGGAATGATTAGAAAGAACTTCACAATTGCAAGTTGTCGTGGATAGCGCAGTGGTAAATCACTCGGTTGAAAATCAGCAAGCTGGAAGTTCAGGTACCAGCAGGTGCACAGTGATTTGCGCTGAAGGTTGTTTCACCTATCCAGGAATTTTGCAGTTAATATTTGTCACTGCAAAAATAATTTCTCCGTTATTTACAAAGGAGCGCTAACCGTGTGAGATACGGAACAACAAAATGGGGCACTAGATCAGAAGGTAAGCGACCACGAGTCGCACGTGCGAGCACTGGGGCTGAAAGAAAAGGGAGGACACCAAGGAGCAACGCGAAAAGGCGGGGGGAAAGGGGAGAACGGGGGCACAGGGGCAGAGGAGAGGAACAACCATGGAAGCACGGAGACGACCCCGAAGAGGAACAAAGGAAAGAGGGGGAAAGGAGCGAGAAATGGCAAGTGAAGCAAGAAAGTCAACAATCCGAAGGAAGGACATTACTATTATTCCACTGAAAAAATCAAGTGAAAATTGGCAAAACCCGAAGCGCTACCCCAGTGGAATCCAAGTAAAATCCACCCGGAATTTCTGAACCTCCTGCAACGACCTCCGACGTTACAGCATTGCCTAGAGCACAATTCTTCATATTCTACACAATCAACCGACATTGCCGGAAGTCGATCCAGGGCCCATTTACTTGGAAGTCCACTGCTCTACCCACTCGACCATGCAACCATCGTTTTAATGGTACCTTTCTGAACGTTAAATGGCCCCGATAAGAATGACGAGTTCAAGATTTTTTTGGTGTACTAGGATTCGAACCACACTTTACTTTTTTCAGGTCTTCCGTGATACCCATTGGACTATCCCTTCACTTTTGTGTAAGCATTTGGAAGGTTACACATTGATAGAAGAAATATCTCATTGGATCAAAATCTTCGCCGATATCGGGGATCGAACCCCTTAGCTGCAAATTAAGAGACCAATGTTTAACCACCTCAACTATGCGAGCACGATTCCCATCTTTTGATTAAAACTCTTTGTTCAGGACTTTCTTATCTTTTTGTGAACGTGTTACAAGTGCTTTCAGTTCCGCTTAGTTCTCTGTTACTAGGAAGGAATATCAAGAAAATTTTCAAAGTGATTTGATTCTGCATTTAAAGTTTTCAGACCTCCATCAAGATTCTTCCAGAAATTTCATGAATTTTTGAAAAAAAAAGTAAAACATAACGGAACAATTTCTGTAAAATTTTATTTTGCGTTAAGCAAATCACAACACGTATGCGAGTAAATACACAAAGTAAAAGCCATAAACTTTGACATATAAATCGAACATTGGATTGGATGTATAAGTAAAACCTATAATTGAATGGTAATCAGCTAAAATCTAAAACTCCGATGTTCAAATATGGAAGATTTCAAAAGTGCAATATAAAATGATAAATAACAACAGAGTCGAGTAATCATATCAATTTTTTGACTAATGTATCGATTTTCAAAAGTAAAATAAAAAAGCTCTCCATTGACAACTAAACTTATAAAGTTTACTTCACGTTTGCAAACAGATAGCGCATTGCAAATTGATAGAATATGATTTTCACGAATCACTTAGAATTTTGATAAAAAGCCTAAGACAATGTTTTGAAATAATTACAGTTTGTACAGTAAAATAAATAGCGAATATGTAGCAATATAGCGGTTACAAACTACTTCTCAGCTCTTCATGTTGTAGACGATTCCAATCTGGCATCACTGCCGGTTGTCCGAGTTTCCTCGAAAAGAAGTCGACAGTGGCAGCCCAGGAAATTTCTTGACTTTTACCATGCAAGACAACATCACCGCCATAACCGCAGCAGAAACCTAAAAATACGAAATTTTCTCAACGATTTGGATTGAAGCTGACTTATGCAGCCATAAATTGCTTGTGAACAGGTTCAGGACACGATAAGCAAACGCGGCGCACTAAATGGCGGGCAATTGGCATCTGGTGTCATGTAGGAGCAAGTGAATAAAACTTCAGTAATTTTCCCTAGCGGATCATGAAATATCAAATGTTCGCCATACAGCAGAACAAGGAGCAAATAAAAAAAAATCAACTAAAGATTTTTGGACCCTATCGATTTTTACCTACGAAACACCAAATAACAAATGTCCGCGATTTAGCGCGCCGCATATGCTTGACCTGTTTCAAACCTGTTAACAAAGTCTTACCCTGAAATTTCGTCCAAACTTTGTCGTGATGTGGAAAATAAGGGGGTTCCATAATGTGACCACCATTCACCAGCTGCACTTCGACATCATGTCCTGTTTCCATCAAACGTTTGGCCACATATCGGCTACAGAAAACCGAAGGGGAGACGAGATCATCCACAGAACCCTAAAAACCCTCTTTAAAGGCTCGATTTCAGTAAATTTAATGGTCCAACTTACTACTAAACGGAAAGCTGTGCCCTTTGGTATGTGTTCCCATGGGATTTCTACTTCTTCGCTCACATCCACATTCTTTAGCACTTTATCAGAGGCCAAGATCGCATTTATGAAGTACAGATAGAGATCGGGTTTACTGAAAATGATTTTTTGATGAAAAAACTGTACAAAAAGGTTCAAAACTCACAGTGTGGGCTGAGGTAAAAGCTTTCCATATTCTTTCAAATTGATATAGTCATTCTGCACATGTGGACCATTAATGCTGACTACTGCATTGATCTAGAAAAATTTCCTTGAAAAGATTTTTGGAGCGAGGGAACTGAAAATTTTACCTCAGGATAGCGCGACGCTAAAATGTTCACGATTGTTCCTCCAAATGATACACCTTGAATACCAAGACGACCGTTTGTAAATGATTGCCTTTTCAGCCAATCTATAGGCCTCTGAAAACGCGAATTTCAGTTTCTGTACATTCTATAGATGATTAGAGGTTATCTTACCCTGAAGTATTCAATTTCCACTTCTTCCAAAGTTGCTACAAGGTTCTTATACTGGAAAAATGCCACGCAAAGGACTACGAAACCTTCAGATGCCAGCATAGAGCCCTGAAAAAACATTATCATCAAGGTTTCAGCTAACTACAAATTTATTTATTCATTCATTTACTTAAATACTCAAAAAGTCAATGAAAAACAAACAAGAAGCGGGAGGGACTTAAAACTTGTCAAAGACTTGCTTTCAACTCTTTATACCTCTAAAAGAGCCGGATGAAGCTCTGGAAACAAAGTGCTTTGGAATTTTCCGAATGTTTTAAGATGATGAATCAACCTAGCGGAGCAATGTGAATGAGTAAAGGATCATGTAAGAACACAAGCAAATTTGATTGAAAAAATTCTGATAATTGCTAAAACAGAAAAACAAAAATTTACTGACTGACTGAAATTGTCGATATTCTCAGAATTTTGATAGTTAATCGAGTTCATAAAAAATTTCCTTAATCAACTGCTTACCTTGTGCTCATGAAGACCTCCGCCAGTTCCCGAAATGTCTATCACAGTAGGAAAAGGTCCATCACCTGAATCGCAAATTTTGCTAATACGCAAATAGTTGAAAAAATTATAAATCCATAGTGTTAGTCTAGTAATTTTTACAGACCTGGTGGCTTGAAAAGTGTTCCGCAAAATCCGTCTTCCTCTATTTCAGTTCGTTCCAGTCTAGGATGCATCCAATGTTTCTTAATTGGGACCATTGCCAATTCGTGGTCAGCAGAATCAAGAAGACTAAATAAAGCTTTTTTCTTGGTCAAAAACTGAAATTCAATCAGAAAAAAAATTAGAGCGAACAAAGCAGAAAAATCAAAAATTCTAGACCGTAACTCACATCAAATCATAGAGAAATGGTAGCGGTGGAGTACATTTCAAATAGCCACCATAGGGAAAATCCTCGCAAGGCTGGATGCTCATAAATAGCCCCATAGCATCGGCCTCTCAAACGAAGTATTTTACATCTTGCACAGGAGTATAGGGTCTACGGGTCTACCAAATCTCTAACTTACCATTATAAGTTCCTCTAAGTGGTTTAGCAGTGGGTAAATGGATTTCACCAGCTGTGTCAGCTTTGAAGACAGCAAAGGACATGTGAGTACCATATTTGTGTTTGAGCCTAAATTAATATAGTAGCTTATACAGCAATTTGAACTGATGCCAGAAATTTTTTTTCATCGTTGTAGGTCAGTGTAGCCAGTTTCTATAGCGCTTCTGCGCTGCTGACAGCAATTGCACGTAAAAAAATGCCATGCCCTTATTGCCGACGATTTGCACATTTATAAAACAGCCGCAGAGCGCACATTTACAGGTTTTGTGCCTGAAGGCCATTTGTTTACGCGCAAATGCTGTCTGCACCGCAGAGACCCTGAACAGCCAAAAATACCAATTTATCCAAGAAGGAACTGCAACGAGTGATTGCTTTTGTCTTATGGCGTAATAATAACGGTATTACAGTAATGGTACACTAACCGGTGACAACTTACCGCAGGACCAGCTTGTATAAAGTATTCGGTACGAGATCCGTTGCCCGGATTTCCAATCGCTCTCCTTGCATTGTGTCGGGTTTGTCTACATAGAGAGACATATTGGTTATTTCTGTAAATTAAAAATTATAAAGAAAAAATAAAAGTAATGAATACGAAGAATTTGGCAAAAACTAGAGCATTTCAATAAGGATTTTCTCGACATTTTGGTTGTTATTTGATACATAAAAGCTACTTGGTTTTAACATCACAAAACTCGAACACCGTAGAATAATTCATATTTGGAAATTTATTTCAGAGAAAATACAGATAACACCAAGCTAAAGGTACACCTCAGGTCACAAGCACTCTGCTTATATATCCTACCAGACATTGTGCAAACTACAAGAACAAAACGGACTTGGGTGCAAGCCTGATAACCCGTATCTTCAGTCAGTCTCATGATTTCATGTCATTACGTAGATAAGCGTAGAAAACGAACTACAAGGCGATAAATCAGGCAGACAGCTTCGCATGATTAATGGCGCAAGAATTTAGGAATGCGTGGAGTAAGGAAACTAAAAATAATATTTTGTTACAGTGATCCAAACTGCAAAAAAGATTTAGTACAGTAATCCAGAGCAAATATTTTCTGATACACAAGATTTTTTCCCATACCTTCTATCTAGAAGAATCATTGTCCTTTACTCTCTTGACATGGAGCAATCAAATGAAGATAGTTTCGTTTAATCCAGATCGGAAAAAATGAGAACTCTACGAAGTTTTTACAGGAATGCTTTTCTAGAAACCGGCTTGAATATAGCCATCCGCGTTGAAGAAGTCAAAAAAATCTATGTCCAAAAAAATAAATACCTAAAAATTTGCATGTCAGAATTAAAATCAGATACCCCGATTCACAAATCAATATCCTTCTAAGTCTAGCCGTAAAAAATGGAAACCCGGAAGAATCTATGCCTTTCAAGGAACTTTTGTAATCTGTCACTTTCCTTTAAATTTTGTTTCCCACTTCAGCTTCCTTTCGAAATTTCTGAAAATATTCTCGGGGATAATTTTTGCCCTCCAACCACCTGACCCGACATCAACCCGTATTTAATGAATTATCAGCAATTTCTTATCATTATGGAAAGTGGCTGGCTGACGAATCGGCTAATCAGAGTTCACGTTTTGCGTAATCGCATCCGTTGCCTTCGAGAACATTGTAATCAGTGAATCTTGTAGTTTGACAAGGGAAATTTGAGCAGAGGTAAATCATCAGAAAAATTTATCACGCTTAGTCCAATAGGAGAAAGAAAGAAAAACGACTCAACGACTCAAACGACCCAGAATTTTTCATAACAAGTCAAAAGTAAAATTGCGCAGAATTTTGTGTTGTACTAACATCATTTTCATGTTTCCCATTTTTTTTTTCAAATGAGAAAAAAATCATGAAACAATCCAGAAACGCGCCAAAGAACGTTGCATTGTTTACGTTTGGTAAATAAAAGCGTATAATTAGTGTGAATGGCCGATGACAGCGGACCTGTTTTTCCCGAGAACGAGCCGATCACTGTTTGATTCCAAGGCTTATAGTGTCATTCTACACTTGACCACCGTCTTCCTGGCTGGCTGCAAGCTCGGTTTGAGCCCCGGGCTTAGCTATTCCTTCCCAATCGTGAATTTTTACGGCGACAGCGATCCTTAAAATCTTACATAATCTTAATCTTGAGAAAATTCTAGTGAACCCTCTTGTCCCCCAATATAAAAACTGTATTTCACTTGATATCCTATAGTACACCACAGACTTTTAAACTTTCTTTACCTTTCATTTTTTTTTTGAAATAATTGTCTGCCGTCTAGAAAAGCAAGTAGCTGTTTTTTAGGAGAATCATACTTACACAAATCACAGGTCAATAACTATTTTTCCACCCTGTAAAATTTTCTCTTTCAAAAATCGAAAAATTTCTCCAGAGATGAATGCGATTCGATTCGCAAATGTTGCCGTGCTGCTCTACTTGCTCAAAGGCTCAGTGAATAGTGAGGTAAGCGATGCTAAGAGACTGGTAAATTTATGCAGACATGGAGACAAAACAATCTTAGAAAGATCAAATCAAAGGTTGTTTTTCTTCAATTAAATTACAAAAACCTTTTTCCTCTTGATACTCAAGAATGTCCTGCAAATAATCATCTAGTTCAAATCATCTACGCTCCCTACAACAGCATAATTTTAATTTTTTTTTTTTTTGAAAGCAATGTGTTCTGGATTATATTAGGTGGATCCGAAAGTTCTGTCGTTTCATTTTCAAAAATTCGTAACTTTGGCTGTGTCAACGGATTTGCTTGCCTGTAATTTTATCAGAAAGAATAAGTCTTTCGCTTCCGAACGCTGTTTTGCGGAGCTTCTGTTTCACGTTGGGTGCGGAGATAAAAATGGAAAACTAAGACCATATAAGCTTTGACCATTTCAAGTTAGGTCACCAAAAATCGGGAACGCTGCAGAAAAATCTGAAATCGTCAGTACATATGTTTTTTGACCTATCTTCGCAACTGTGAAAAGTTTGTGCTGTTTGAACGTCTCTGTAAAAAGTTATAATTTTCGAGTTTACTATGGAAAACGCCAAAATTGACTAATTTGCCAATTTTCTCAATAATTATAACTTCTCACAGAGACGTTCAAACAGTACAGATTTTCACAGATGCAAAGGGTAGGCCAAAAAACATATGTATTGACGATTTCAGATTTTTCTGCAGCGTTCCCGATTTTTGGCGACCTTTACAAAATGGTCAAAGCTTATGTGGTCTTAGTTTTCCATTTTTATCTCCGCACCCAATGTGAAACAGAAGCTCCGCAAAACAGCGTTCGGAAGAGAAGGACTATTTCTTTCTGACAAAATTACAAGCAAGCAAATTTGTTGATACAGCGCAAAGTTACAAATTTTTGAAAATAAAACGACAGAACTTTCGGACCCACCTAATATGTTGCCATTCTGTCACATAGAAAATCAAGAAAAACAATGTTTGAGAAAAAATAGAAGAAATAGAGAAAGAAAGAATTCAAAAAAAAATTAATGTTTCCTCTCCCCACAAATGGAGCATGTTCAATATTATGAAAAATTAGTATTTTGTGGCAAGCTTACAGAATAATGATTTAGCCAACTTCCACAACCATGGCACCCGTCACTTCACAATTATCGCTTGAGATAAGCCGTATCAAACGACAATGTTGCGCAGCATGTACTACGGATAACTGCTCCTGCGGAGGCGGATGTCCTGTTCAGCAGCCGAAGGTGGCATTCATCTCTAACTTTTGGGGAATCCCAGAAAAAACTATTTTTTCTAGGTGTTTTGTCCAGAGCATTGTCAACCTATGTGCACCAATGCATGCGTAATGACTGTGGTAAGTAATCTTCTTTCGCCATTATTTCTCGGTAGTGAAAACAACATTATGAGATGATTGCGGTCCTAGTAAGTTTCGTAAGCAAAAGATAGCGAAGGGGTGTGGAGTTGACCAAAAAAAGTCCCGCATTCACACAATTCACCGAAACTTCCGCAGGATAAGCAAAATTTGCAGCGGTTCCGCAGGATTCTGTTTACTATTCCAAAAGTGAAAACGCTGAAAATAGGAACTACCGCAGGAATTTTACGTCAGATTGGTTGGAAACGGGAATCCGCAGAGCTTTTACGAAGCGTCGCGGAACTTCCGAAAATGCCTGCGGTTCCGCAGCACTTTGACATGCCAGTACTTCCGCGGGTTTTGAATGTGTAGTCTCTTGCCATGTTGCTTCGCCAACAGCTAAAAGCATTATTGAACATGCCATCCGTAGTGTAGAGGCTAGTAAGTGAGTCCCGCAGTCATTAGACCTAAGGCATACCTCACGCGATTCCAGTCGCTGCGCAATCTGGCACTGCAGCGACTCTTCATAACTTGTCGTAAGCGCGCTTTACATAGGTCAGACTTGAAGCTTTTGCTATAATTTACGAAAGCTACGAGCCTATGCATTTTGGACCCGCACACGGTTGATTTGTAAACATCTGGCAAACCGCCAAGTCGCATGGATGTAGCGATTTGGCGAAATCGCGCGAGGTATGCCTTAGGCCTTAGGGCAAGGTTCGAATCTCGCTTAGGTGTTCTCTTTTGCTGTTGTGGTTCGCAATCGAAACTTCTGCAGCACCTTATTTGGCTTCCACAGCATGTTTACGGAACTTCCGCAGGTGAGCCGGCGGAACTTCAAAAGTTCCGCGGAAGTTCCGTTCAGTTGCTTGAGATGTCACTGTTCCACAAGCTTGAAAAAGCAAAATTCTAGAGACTGCGCGTAAAAGATCTTCTTATTTTCACCAACAACAATAAGTTTTCATAAAATCTGGGACTCTTTTTATCGCTTCATAAATTTGCAGCCCATTTTGGCCATTTTCATAGTGAAAGAAAACTTGAATTCCGTCATCTGTGAGTATTTCCTAAAGGAAGGCTCGTCCTTATGACGGGCAAAAATATGAGGCTCATAGGTAGATGAAGGAACCCATTATTGCATGAAACACTTAGAAGAACCGATAATAAATTATTAAAAGAGTCCCTCTTTGCACATATACTTTAGTTCTCAAAAATTTAGGCAACTTGCCCGGATCGATGCCAGCCCCATTGCACAAATGCATGTGTTATGGTAAGAAAAATTATAATGTCATTACAAAATTTCTTACTCATCTGAAAATAATACAAATTAACAATGAACAGGCGCCACCGCCACCACCTCCACCAATGCCGCAGTGTTCTTTACAATGTATGCCTCGATGTGAACCTTCGTGTATGAACGCTCCAGCGCCAATGGTGATTTTCTGCAGTTACAGAACTTTAAGCATGGAAAATTGAATAAGTACTTTGTGAGAAAAAAAATTATTATTTGTATGTTACATTACGACAGATTTATAATTATTCTTATGATTTCAGCCCCTATGCGAAGCTCGCTGTATGCCAACATGTTCTCCGCAATGTGTGCAAACATATAGGGTAAGTTATACATCATGGTTACCGTCATCCTACAGTAATCCTCGCCTATAAACAGGTTCAAACAACTTGTGTTCAAGCTTGTATGCCTATGTGTCAGCCGTCTTGCGTTCAAGCTATGGAGGTTTGTGCGAAAAAATAACAGAGCAATTTTTGATTTATTTCCAACTCAAGAGCAGAGAATAGAAGTTAACGAAAGACTTTGCTACGGGGAAATTTGGATCTAACATCGCTCAAAGTTTGTAGTTCACGCAACGAGGGGTAGTAATTCCAACCTCTCGTTTCTCAGAGTCATTAACCATAAAGATGAAGGATAAGATGAGGATAAAGACTAGTCTTTTTTGAAACTTTGGACAAAGCCAACAGAGGGAAGTAAGAGGAAAAAGACAACAAGCCTTAATGGAGATGCGCAAACAAAACTCTAAATCTTTTCAAATAATCAAAGAAATTTCAGAAGAAACTCCAAATTTTCACACGTTTAATTTCAATTTTACGCAATATCCTACAAAAATCTGCTTTCCTCGATTGGTTCTCAATGCTAATGCTCTGATTTTAGATTCGACCTATGCAGTGCATGGAAGCTTGTATGCCCTCTTGTCAGCCTTCTTGTGTTCAAGCTGTGGCATGCAGCTCTTGTACCAGCAACTGTCCTTCAGTGTGCGCGTAAGTTTTCAACCGCAATCAAATCAAGAGATTCATGCCCAAAATAAGCGGACTCAAAAAAAATTCTAACAAGGGAAGTCACTTAACTTAGGTCGGCCTTTTGAAATGAGACACATATATTTAGAATCAGCTGGGAACGCTGATTCCAAATATGCTGTCCTTAGCTGCGAAGCATTCCTCTTAAGCGAGTTATGAGCTTTTTAGTATGTGTAATTGACATATAACTAAATATGGAAAGAAGGCCTTTAGATGAAAATCTGCCTAAAAAAGTGGTGGAAAATCAAAAGAACATCAAACTGAGTCATTTGGCTTTGATAGAGTGTTGTATGCATTTGAACTATTACCTGGATGACGATACCGCAGCATGCCTAAGTCGGTCAGCACGCAAACTTTGCTTAGGAAAAAGCTCATAACTCGCTTCAGAGGAACGCTTCGCAGCTAAGGACAGCATATTTGTAATCAGCGTTCCCAGCTGATTCTAAACATATGTGTCTCATTTCAAAAGGCCGACCTAAGCTAAGTGACTTTCCTTGTAAGAATTTACAGGATAATACTTTTACTCATTTTGCAGTATAGCCCCAAAAGCAAAGCCAGCTAAAACATCTAAAAAGATGGCTGCGCACTCAAAACCCATTTTTTCCGAAGTTTGCTTGATGTGGTGAAGCATCACCTTTTGACTTTGATAATATTTACAGCCAACCCGTCTGCGTTCAAGCTTGCATGCCCCGATGTCTTCCCACTTGTATTCAGGCTGTTCAGGTTGGTTTTCATATTTAGTTTGAATACCTTGAAAAATTGAAGGCTCATTGGGCTAGTAAGAGTATGGAAGGCTGAAGTTGAGGAAAGCGGGGAGAATAAATTGAACACCAGTATAACCTCCAAGTAAGATTAAAGGCAGCAGAGAAGCGCTGGTTCTTCAGCATCAGGCCCATTTGTTTACCCAAAACAACCCCTTCTTTTTCTGCTTTTTTTGATTTCGAGATCTTCTCAATAAAAAGCAGACTTGACCTAATTGATGCTATTCAAGAGCTTCTGATATTCTTCAAAATCCTTTTCTTGAAAAGCGTAGGCCTATAGTTGAGTCATTCAAGCTTCAACAAAACCTGTACACAAGTTCAAACTTACCACTGCAGATCCAACCCCGCCAGTCCTGCTCTCCAGGCTGTATGCCATCATGTTCTCCAAACTGTATGCAGCAGAGTTGTCCACCTCAGTGCATGCCCGCTTGCACTCCTTCGTGTATGCAACAGTCAGTTTCAAATTTGCTGCGTAAATAAAGCTTAACTTACCTTATTCTTCCCCAGATTCGGGCTACAGATGTCTCCTGAATTCGGGCTCCAACTATCTCCCGCTCGTACTTGCGCCAATGAATGCATGCCATCATGTGAAAGCACTTGCTTAGCACAGGTAGGGCGACAATAATTTCTTAGGGGCAGTGTCTAGATGAATCTGCGTACCTGGACTTCTTACATAAAACTTAACTCAGAAGCCTCATCTAAGCCGTTGCTAAACCGGCAGCTCATAAAATTTGTTCGCGGCCGAGAAAACCGAGTTCGAGCTTTAACCCAGACCGTATTCTTCATTCTCCCATACAGTATGGGCGGGACTTTGGAGTTGATTTTATCGGCCGCGACCAAAAGTTACGAGCTGCTGCTTGGATGATGGTTTAGTTAACGATTTGCGAATCAGTTCTCACATAAGGAGCCCAGGTGCCCAGACTTGTTTGGACACTGCCTTCTAGTTGGCTCTTACCGTATACCTGGGTAGACTACGCAAAATCGAAGGATCATCTTATAATGTTGTCCACTCCCAGATAACCTGCACGGAAGCATGTAAGCCCGCCTGTGCTCCGTCATGCGTCGCGGCAAATCCTGCTCCCGCTCCGCCTCCCCCACCACCACCATCACCACCTCTACCACCACCTCCACCACCGATGCCAGAGCCCGTATGCGTACAGCCATGTATGCCTGCATGTGCCCCCACATGCATCCAGCAAATCCAGATGCAAATGGTGCCAAGTAAGTTTTGGGGCGTGTCCACTACACTCCTCTCATTGGCGGTCTGGAACTGACCAATCACAGGCGAGACCTATTTCTTTGCATAATTTAGCAGCACAAATAGCGATACCCTGTGGAAATCCTTGCATATGTCAACCGGGTTATGTACAATGCGCTGAAAACATGTGCTGTGTCAGGTGAGTTCCAAAAATCTCATCAATTCTTTCAATGCCTAGAAAAATTTCTCCTAGATACAGGAACATGGCTGTAAAATTCCGGCGATTGAAGCAAGCTTCAAAGAACAAAAGAGGAGACAAGTGGGATCAAATTTTCAAAATCTACCAATCAAGTAGATTTTTTTTCGTTTTTCAGGTCATGAACTTCGTCTTGCCACAATATATATCCAAAACGTCTTTCAAAAGGAGTGCAAGAATGTCAGCATGTAGTATTTCTTATATTTATCAATAAATATTGTATTGTGAGTATAAAATGAATGACTAGTTTACAAAAGCAAAAACGTCCAAATGTAACGAGATAAAAAAAAAACAGCTGAGTTTGCGCTGCCAATCCAAATTTTTCGTGAGGAAATGCCCCAAGGTTCACCTCACACCTCAGATGCAGTTATCAAGAGTAGAGTTACTCAACACTCGATTCTTTTGCCTCTGTCCGCCACGCAAGAATGCCATCTCTCAAACTCATAGTTCTATTGCTTCTGGCCTTCTACTCAACGGATGGATATGCCACGAGCTTGTCACGACCACCTGGTACCCCTAAATATTTGTACCAAGCTCGTTCACTAATTGTTTGCCAAGCAAAATGCAAGAACCAGGTTTGTTTATGCTTATTTCTTCGAAAATGCAGTTTGCAAGAGTTTATTCTTACTTCTATAGCTTTTCTCATAATTTTTGAAGACCTTCTAAGTTTAAAAACCTTTGCGACCGTTCAAATCTGCCTTCAAGGATTTTTATCTTGATGATGATTTTTCAAAATTTCAATGGCTAAAAAAATTCACCAATGCAATGCCGCACATGTTATGCTTGGATTTGGAAAAAAGCTTGAGTTTTCCTGGGAAAAATGACTTGCATCTATATTTTGAGCGTATTTTCCGATGCCTGTCTACTTGGCAAAATTGACCCGATTTTCCTCAGACGGCAGAAATTATGTTAGCTATATTCCGCTGCCTAAATCTGCTGAATAATCGCTTTGCACATCTTTTTGAGGATGAACATGTATGGACGTATTTGCAGAATTTTTAACACAAGTGAAACTTATAGTGTAACTTACACTTAAATTTATAGTGCAACTCGGCTAATTTGATGGCGCGGCTCCGATGCAATCAATGCATGCAAGGATGCATTCGAAAGGAAAATATGGTTTATGAAGATGGCCCTGAAGGTAAGACAAAAATTTTTTCAAATTTACTACTGACCAACCAAACATTCCACCACCCCTCCCCCAAAATTGTTAAGAACTTTCTAACTTTTTGAGTTTTTCATACGATCCACTTCATTTTGACAGCAACGAAAAAAGCCAAAATTGAATGATTTCTCAGGCTACATATTACATTCACGGAACCATTTTGTGACTCCCATAAACTGAGTGATTGCCTCCTTTGGTGCAAGTGCACAACTTCTTCATTCGTCGCTGATTGGCCGTAAAGCGCGGTATTCTCCTGATAAGTTTTGTGTAACAAGAGCAGATAAACTGATATATTTTGGAGACCAAGAATTTATTTTGCTAGAGATTTGCTTTACCAGATCGCGGACTGATTCGTGCAGTTGCGGTTTGCTGCGCGCGCTTGGCTACTTTCTCAACAGTCTCCATCAAGCTCTACTTCGACTTCTCTGACAATGAGATTCTAAAAGAGGCATTTGCCGTTCTGGAGTACCGAAGGTTATCGGATCTCGACGACTTGTATTCTCCGCCATGGACCATCACCCAAGTCAGTAAGAATTATTATTTTCTAGTTCAAATTTGATGTAACTCATCAAGTTTAGATTGTGCGAGACCGAGCAGTCACAATAACTGATTTGGAATGCGGGTTCACTTATCAATTTCGTCTCACCCTTATCGCTACAAGAATTCTTAATCGACGTACGAGTTTATGGATTTCTAACAGACATCTCTGTCGATATGGAGCGGTACATCTATCTGAGTGAAGCAGTTAGTAACCAGATGCATGCTACCATGCAAGAAAAATCGTTCTGGTCAAATAAACCCTACACGGCAAAATATAAAAAGATTCATAAACATATAACAACTGTCAATGTCAACAACGCCCTGAGTAACAAGGAAATGTCAAGGCAACAACAACTTGGAGCTTTTTTAGATTTCTCTCATGCAAACATGCTAATGCAAAGTAGAGTGAGCAAACAGATATTACAACATACTAAAAATTACCCACGGTTGCGAGTAATGGCAGGGATTACCAGTTCAATGGACGACGTGGTAATGATATAACTTCGACTGTGTACAAGGTATTCGGGTCATCCTCCTCTTCTCGGGTAGTTTGGGACCGTTTCAGTTCGATTTGTTTAAATGAGGTCATAATTTCGGCCTTCAATTGGATAAATAAGGATACTGAAAAAGAGCAAAGAGAAACCAACCATTCGTTCAGAAAACTCCAATGTTTCTTGCACAACATCGTGCAAATCATTTTCCCACACTAATCGATTTCCAAATGTGTCTGTCAACACTGTTATGAGTGAAAGGGCCTGCAAAAATACACATGCGAAATAAAACAGTAGTTCCTACGGATTCTAGAATAAAGTGTTTCAGTGGCTGTCCTTCGGAGCAAAAAAAAAGGAAAATGGACAAAATTTTTTTCGAAGAAAAAAGATTCAACAAAATACTGCTTTCAATTTCAAGAAAAGCTCAATCTATCACCTTCACTATCCCACTATGCCCCTTTCAACAGTTCTTCTATATTTAAAAAAAACTCTGTATGCAACTTCAAAGCAAAAATAGATGCAATAAAATGATGATCAAATGGGCAACTAGTAAAAAAAAAGCATCGAACGAACCTGTTCTGCTATCTCGCTACATTCTGGCATGATGTACAACCTCATACATCGTTGTATCAAAACTGATGCGTGTTGCGTAGTTATTTTCTGTGCTGCACATTCGGATAACCGACGAGCACCAAAATGACGACGAAGCAATTTGGCTAACAATCGTTCGCCTTCCATGGAGGATTTTTCTTCTGAGATAGCTCTGCAAGACGAACATCAAAGAGAAGGGAAGGTCAGTTCAAAGATATTGATGCAAGAAAAACGAGAATGGAAGAAAACAGAAGAGAACTCACTGTGCTGTATAATCTAGAAAAAGGGCTAATGACTGTTCCGACAAAGCCTCGCTTGACTCGATTACCGAGCATAAAAGCGAAGTTTGGTCCATACTCAAGCACAACTCATAAAATGATCCTACGCTCCTGCAAAAAAGATTTCGAGCGTTACTAAAAAATGAAGATTCTAAAGCAATTTTATCAAATTCCCCTAGAGTATGGTTGGTCAGAAAGGTGCTGAAATCATCTTATAGAAATTTACCATTTCACTGCTGTCTCACATGCACAAAATCCTAATCATGGTGTTCTTTACAGTTGTCAAACCATTCGGACAACAAAAGTTGAAAAACTTACGCTGCTCTAAAGTAGCTTTGACTACTCAAGAGAACAAAAAAATCTAACACTTCGTATCAACTAGAAGAACTCCAAGTAGAGGCTAACCTGGGCCCAAAGATATTCGTCCGCCGCAAAACCTCGCATATATTTTTTAGTTCTTTAGAGGTGAAAGACTGTGTGGGTAGAAAATCTAGCAACAGCATCTGTTCATCATTGTGCAAGAGTCCGTCAGCATCGGCACCCTTCACTGAGAGACATTTGAATGCTCTTTTCCAAGCTCCTTCCGCAAGCTGAATAATGTCATGTGAGAAACGAAAATCGAGCAGAAGAAATGGGAAAGCACTAATAAAAGCATTCAAAAGATGGATTGGATACAATGAATGCGTACCGGATTGCTGACAAAGTCCTTGAGTGCCTCGTGCAACGATTGTTGTTTAGAACTATCTTTTGGAGATAAATCGGCAAAACTAGAGAATCGCTTTGGGAGATCTTTTGTACGTCGATTTCGCAGGACTTCACGTAGCTTACATATCCTAGAAAAATTGTTTACATGATTTGTTGAAAAAAGAGATTAAAATGCTTACCGTAATGGAACAGTTGCATATGTGATATCATTTGTCAATCTCACACATTCTTCCGATTCAACAAATTTAATCTAGAAGTAGATAGGTAATTCTTTAATAGTGAGGAAAAACGTTCTACTTACAGTAGATGGTTGAGGTTCGCTGTCAGGCCAAGGTACTTTAAGTTCCGCAAGTTGTTCTCCATCAGGATCTTTCAGTTGAAGAAAAACCTCTTTGCGTCCTTTCTGATTCGATTCTGTCGGTGTTCTTGAGCCAACCACTACAATGCAGTCTTCTACGCTGCACTGCACCTCCATCCACTGACTACAGCGCTGAAAATAGATGTTCTAATTGCGAGGGAACAATTCACTCGCGTAAATATACTAATATTGGCAAAGTGATACACAAACTGAGAAAAGACTCGCAATCATGTTCAAATCTCCCCTTATTTAAACATGAGAGAGGTGCAGAAGAACAAAAGATGGAAAACGTTGAAAAAACAACTCAAAAGCCTCCACTTCTAGAAAAAGCTGAGTCCATATGGACCGACCTTCATTTTCACGAATGATATATTATATTATACAATCCTATTAAATAATAAGCAAATTTGAAATCTTTTCAGAAAAGTAAAATGAAGAAAAAAGAAAGAACGACTAACCTTGAACCACCACTGCCGAAGTAAACATTGGCGTGAGCTAATGCGTTGATGTGGGAGTGCAGACCACAACGCTGCTCACGCCAAAGTTCTGTTCAAAGTTGCCGTAATTCCGGCCTAGGTTGTGTAAATGCAGAACATGAGGTTGGAATTCTTCTACTACTAGCGGCCCAATAGCTAGCAGGTGTGAGAAATGTTGTATTGAGTCATCAAAGCCTCGTATAACACTTTTTCAATGCCGTAAAAGCTAATAAACTTCATCTAGTAATGTTTTGATTGAAAAGTTCTGCTGGGAAGGCATGGTGCGCATGGTACTTCTAATGACGAAAGTACGACTGCTTGCAGAAGAACGTTTGGAGTCAAGAAAGATGTCGCGTTTAATAAAGCTCATTCTCCAAAACTGAATTGCACACCTTACAGCTCGCGCTTTTTCTCTAGACTCTCTCGTATAGCATCATTCACGTAGCTCTCTTTTCTGTGGCTTCTCTTAGCTGATATATTGTAGTTCTTTTCGGTGTAAAATTTTCTCAAAGCGTTAGCAGCTTTTTCCGTCAAAGCATTAGAGGAGGGTGAGGACGATTCGCGTCCGTTCTGCTTTCCACACAGGACCGGTGCCGCGCGCGGAACACCCTGCGGCGGCTTTTGCCTAAGCAAAGCAGGCGGAAGAAAGATTTGCGGCGTGCTGACGTGTTAAGACAAGTCAAAATTAAGATAGCGCTGGAGACCGCCCATGAGAAAAGACTGTCTTCCACAAGATCTAATTTCCTCAACACTCTAGCCTCAAAATATCAGTTCTCCTTTCTCAGTTTCTTAGCCAAAATGCACTAAGCTTTTCCCTCTAAAAATCCACAGTGAAGTTGTCCACTCTTTCTTCGTTATTCAAGGAACTGTCCCGTCTGTCGCCGACATGGCGACCTCTTCGGCAGGCTCCCGATAGAACTGTTTGCCCAGCTCCCCTGCTATAAAAGCAGGGGGCTGGGAGTGATAAGCATGTCTCTTTCGCATCCATCAATTTGCACCTGGTCCGGGTAAAAAGGACGTCATTGTTGTTATATTATTGCTATATTCCCGAATAAATCCTTTTGTAAAAGTCTGAACCACCGTTTGGCACATTTTGGTGCATCGGCCGGGAAACGAACCCGGGCCGCCCGCGTGGCAGGCGAGCATTCTACCACTGAACCACCGTTTGGCACATTTTGGTGCATCGGTCAAAAAAATCCTTTTTTGGTCGAGATTCTTTATTGAATCGAAAAAGTCTAGGCCATCATACCTAGCACAAGTCCAGCATTTCCCTGGCAATAAAGACTAGGACATCACGCCTAGCAACAAAAAGCCCAGGCTATCATACCTGGCAACACATACGCTACAATAAAGTAGGCTGTAAGTTAAAGCGAAAGCAAAGCACTTAAGCCGAAAAAAAAGCAAAAAGTGATAATGGCATTCACATTACACAAAAAACCAATAGCATACAGTGCTAAATCCTTGGGTACCTTAGTGGAAAAGTACAGAGGTTATTCCGAAGGGGTCTCGACCAGCGGAAACGAGACCAAACAGCTCGATGAGCTTTACAATGCTGCAGACCTGATCAGCGGAGGAATTGAGCTCATCAGGGAGAGCAGAGACGCACTCCAGATCTTGGTAGACAAGCTGGATAAGCAGTTCGACGACCTAAACGTAAAAGGTAATCGTAAAGAACTGCTAGCTGAAATCGAAGAAATCGACAAAGAAACGCAATACAGCGAAAAAATCGCAGCTGCTAACGACACAATGTACGTGCTAAAAGCGCGATTGAACGAAACTCGCACGAAAGCGAAGAGACTGGCAAAGAAGCTGGATAGGCCAGCACATACCGAAACGGTATCGACACCTAGCGATGCAGCAATGAAAGGTGAAATTAACGGAGAAGATAGAGAGTTCTCCGCCAATGCAGGGGCATGGTTATCCGAAGACCTATTGATAAATAGCGTCGTAGAGTCAGAAGACATGATGTGTCGAACTCTGAAACCAAAACAGCTCAAAATACCGAGGTTTTATGGCGACGAAGAGGAATCCGCCGAATATTGGGCCATTTTTAGCACCCTGGTACACGAAAATAAAGTCCTAAGTACCACAGAAAAAATGATGTTTCTCAAGAACAGCCTCAAGGGAAGGGCGGAAATTGCCGTGAAAGGAATAGAAATGGTACCAAAAAATTACCAGTGGATGATAGAAACACTGAAGAAAAAATACAGCAACAGGCCTGTAAATAGAGCCAGAGTTGTGCAAAAATTGGTCGACATGCGACCAGCAACAAATACTGCTGAAAGCTGCTCAGACACACATGACAAAATACGCATGTTGATAAACCAACTGGTCTCTGCCGGGCAAGACATCCGCAAGATGCAAGATGCTCTCTGGACCGAGAAAATTCTGGAAAAATTTCCATACAACATAGTGAAGAACGTGCTCACTTCAACGCAAGAACTGCAAGAAATCACAGTGGACGACATAATGGAAGCTCTAGACAAGCAAATTGAAGCAAAAAAATACGTGGATTCGCTTCTCAAACATTTCTCGAAAGGAGAACAACCACGAAAACGCCCAGATTATGCACACAGCGAGCGTAATTATGCAAACAACGAACGTACTATACCAAAAAATACGAACACGTGTGTATTTTGCAAAATGTCCAATCATACGACATCGAATTGCAGAACGGTAACCGACACTTTTGCAAGACGAAACGTGGTCAAAGAAGAACATCTTTGTTGGAAATGCTTCTCCAACGAACACAGTGCTGGTGCCCGCATGAAACCAAACTGTTCTCGATGTGGGCGACTACATGATGTCTCCTTGTGCCCATCCTCAAACGCTCCAAACATGAACGAGCGAAATTCGAATCAAGCAACAAACAATCGCAACTACAACCATCAAAGGTCAGCGTATCGCACTGATAGACATGATACAAGAGCAAATAGACCACAATGGCGCAATAATCATGGACGCGACTTCCAAGATAGGACAAACCAAAGACAAGTCGTAAACAACACATGTGTTGATACAGGAAACGACAATGCACAAGCGGTCAGAAACAAAGAACAATTTGTGCTTATGACCGCGGAAGGCAATCTGTGGAACCACAGAACAAATCAGTATGAAAAAGTCCTGTTTTTCTTCGACACAGGAGCTCAAAAAACACTCATAAAAGAGAGCACTGCTGAAGAATTTTGTCTACCAACCCAGAACACGGAACACTGCACGATGTCCGGCATTGGTGGACATACCGAACACTTCAAAAGCAAGATCGTAACGCTGAAAGTCAGCACAGCCTATGGCAAAGAGATGATACTCACCGGGCAAACAAAACCGGTCATAACCAACGGTTTCTCCTCGGTTCGGCTGTCCGATGAAGACAAAAATTTCCTGCAAACAAAAGAAATGGTCGTCTGCAATCCGCGAGTGCGCGGTGAACTTCAAAACCCGCAGATCCTCATCGGTATAGATTATTTTCTCGCGATGGTACCTCCAAGCGCAGAAAATATACAAATGCCGTCAGAATTGAACATTACAAAAACAGTGTTTGGACCGAGTATACACGGCAAAGGGACGATTCCACCATCGCTAACTATCACCAACACTGCAATCCACGCGCTAACTCTCATAAATGACGTCAAAGAGTCAGAAATGCTCCAGAAAATGTTTGAACTCGAAGGACTAGGAATTTCCTCAGAAGAGTTGCAAAAAGATGAGAGCACATTCACATATTTCCAGACCTACTCAAAGAAACTTTCGTTTCAAGACGGTGTTGTGATCGCTCCGCTACCACTCAAAGACAGCATAGTTGATCTAAGCGATAACTATGCAGTGGCTTACAGAAGATTACTAGCACTTTGGCAGCTTCTGCAAAACAACGAAAACCAACGAAATTGGTACAAAACTGTTCTTGACAAATACATACAGGACAACGTAATAGAGGTAGCCAAAGATGATATTTCTGATAAAGCCGGCACCTATTATATGCCACACTCAGGCGTTTGGCGGCCAAACAAAGCAGTACCTTTACGTATAGTGTTTGACGCGTCCTCCAAGCGAAAAACACAATTTTCGCTAAACGACGTGGTCTACATCGGCGAGTCCTTCGTGAACAAAATACATGATGTACTAACGTCGAGTCGATCGGACACCATCATTCTGCTTTGCGACATTGAAGCCGCTTTCACGCAAATTCGACTAAGTAGCGCTCACAAAGACTTATGCAGATTCTCATGGGTGCGAGACACTGAAAAAGCGCCAACAAAAGACAATATCGTCGAATATCGATTTACGAGGCTCCCGTTCGGGCTGACAGCTTCTCCAAGCATCCTGAACATGGTGATTCTCGCCTTTTTGGACTGGAAAAACACACCCTTAGCAAGAGAGATTGCATCGCATCTGTATGTGGACAACATCCTCCTAAAAGCTAATTCCGTTCAAGAAGCGCTGACAAAATACCATGAATCAAAAGCGCTATTTGCTGAAATCGGAATGAACTTACGCGAGTACATTTCCAACTCGCAGCTTGTCAACCACGCCATCCCTGAAAAAGACCGTTTACATGGTAAGGTTATCAAGTTTCTGGGAGTAAACTACGACACTGAGGAGGACACTTACGCTTTGAAAGTAGACATCCCGTCCAAAGAAAAGCTCACAAAACGCGATATCGTCAGTCAGATAAACTCAGTGTACGATCCAATTGGCATGGCGGGACCACTTCTGGTGAAACTGAAATCTCTAATGCGAGAAATCTATAGCACAGGATTAGACTGGAAAGAAACCATTCCTAGCCATTTCGCTTCGAAATGGAATGAGGAGTGTCAGCAGATAAACAATTGTGATTTAACTCTGCGACGTGCTCTACCGACTCCCGATAAAGGCCGATACACCCTTTGGATTTTTTCGGACGCAAGCAAGATAGCTATCGCGTCATGCGCCTATCTGCAGTGCATTGAGACTAGAAAAGTCTCCCAGCTAATAAGCGGCAAAACTCGTCTTACGCCCAAGAAAATGGTGCAAACTATACCGCGATTGGAGCTACTCAGCATACTCATAGCCACCAGACTAGCAAAGAGCATTGTAAATACAATGGGTAACGCTATCGAGGACATAAAAATAGCCAACGACAGCGAAATCGCTCTCGCTTGGATTCCAAGCATGAGAAAACTGCCGCCGTTTGTCGCGAGTCAAAGAGATCGCATTTTGCGACTCAAGCATCATTTTGAATGCAAGAACAAACAGATACAGTTCTACCACGTCTCCACAAACGACAATCCAGCAGACGCTGGAACCCGCGGATTATCAGCATCAGCGATGAAAAATCATGCCTGGATAAAAGGCCCACAATGGTTAGCGCAAAGCCCTGAAAAGTGGTCGTTACGCGTAATTACCGAGGCAAATGCCGAATACGAACAGAGCGATGACGACGAAATTCAAGCGCATCCTACCGTACCGCGACCCACCAATAGCGAGGAAATACAGTCATTTATTGATTTGCAACGCTTTTCAAACTACAACAAGCTACTGAGAACAGTAGCCATAATCGGTAAAACTTCAAAAAAATGGATACAGAAGTGCAGCTTCAATTGCGAAAAGTTCCCTATTATCAAAAACTTTAGCACGGAACAGCACATTACAGCGGAAGATATAATACTCAGCGAAAGACTGATAATCACCTCAGTACATCATTATATATCTGTAGAAGAACTGCAGAAGCGCTTCCGCAATGTGAAAATTGTTAGAGATGAATTTGGAATAATACGCCACGAATCGCGCCTACAAAACGCGATATTGCCTCACGATACAAAATCGCCAATATTCCTCCCCAATCCGTCCGAACTGACTCGATTGATTTTGGTAAACATATACCAGAAGAACGCGCACTGTGGGAATGACCACATTTTAGCGCTAGCACGACAGCGATACTGGATACCTCAACCCATGAAAGCAATAAAAAAGTATCTCAGAAGCTGCAGCACGTGCAAAAGATGTCATGGGCTGCCATTCGGCGCTCCAGAGATGCCATCGCTACCCAAAGATAGAGTACGAATTTCCAAGCCATTCCATAAGATTGGTTGCGATTTCTTAGGTCCTATCGACTCGCAAAACAACGAGAAAATGTATGTATGCCTGTACACATGCTTAACTACAAGGGCCATACACTTAGAAGCTGTGGAGAACCTATCAACAGGCGCATTCCTAAACAGCTTTGTATGGTTTGTCTCACGACGTGGGGTACCACAACTCGTAAGGACAGACTGCGGCACTAATTTCAAGCTCGGTCAAAAAATCATAGAAAAATTGTTTGAAAAAGACGACCGAAGCGAGAAGTCTGTAATGAATTACAGTGCTACTGAAGGTATAACGTGGATATTTAATCCGCCAGGTGCACCCTGGATGGGTGGTGTTTGGGAAAGGCTAGTCGGCTCAGTCAAGCGCTGTTTTACTAAAGCTGTTGGCCGCCGCAAAGTTTCCTTCACTGAGTTAAGCACCGTTATGGCAAGAATTGAAGCCATCATAAACACTCGCCCGCTCACAAAGTTGAGCTCGAGTGATATAACGGACATACCTTTGCGACCCATAGACTTCCTACAGGGCAACGTGAAATATGCACTCCCAAACACTAACGTGCGAGCTAACGATCCTGATTATGATCCAGAACTCATTCAGACCGCCTCACAAGCGCATGAAGCAATGGAGTTCTCAGAAGCCACTGCAGCTAAATTCTGGGACCGTTGGAATGTAGAGTATCTGACACTTTTACGCGAAAGTCAAAAGAGGCACTTGAATCAACCGCGGCACACGCCTCACCACCCACGAATCGGCGAAATTGTGCTTATTGAACAAGAATTGATACCCCGCGGTAACTGGGCCTATGGAAAGATAACAGAACTAGTCAAAAGTGCAGACGGTCTGATAAGGTCAGCCAAAATCCTTACACCAAATCATAAAATTCTACAAAGGCCTTTGAATAAGCTGTTCCCTCTAGAAATCAGATGTACTGAAGAGGCAAACATGGAAGAAACAGCAACGCTGCCAGAAAATATTCAGCAGGATGAACATCCAGCTCAGCAAACACGAGTACAACACGACACACATGCTGACACTGGCGAAAATCTCTTGCAAGCGCAGTCTAGTAGACGAAATCCGCCTCGAGAATCTAAGACTCGCGCCTACGAAGTCATTCAAAACTTTGAACGAGTTTGCAAAGCACATCATCCCCTCATATCTCTCGGGTCATGACAATAATTAGCCTCATCCTCCTATACAGCTGTAATAGTGTGGAAGCTTTGACGAAGGGACCTATGGAGTGCGCAGAAGGAATACTTAACATTAGAGAGCTTGCAGAACCATTCAGGTTATGTGTGAGTAATACATGCAAAGTATTCGAAAATAACACTCAAGCCATGTCAATAAGCATCCCTCCCGCGAAAACCAAGGGGCAATTTCATGTGAACCTAACAACCCCGACATTCTCGGTCACTCAGTTATGTAAATCTCATACATACTGCGATCACTCAAGCAGGATCATGACAACATCTTTACTGGGAAACCCACATTGCTGGCCAACAGGTGCAGTAATAACTACTGCACTATCCATGTACGCCCTAGTAACAATCTTGATGATGGTGTTATGGGTGTTGAAACGGCTGCTCACACGAAGGCTAAACGTAGCATCTAATCCCGAGACAAACATCGTACTTGATAGCTTCAATCCCAACCCATTAGGCCTATCCAACACGATAGTCATAGTGATAGCCCTATCATCCATGATTAGCACAGCAGCATCATGCCAACATGGGTACATGCGACATACGGTCGAAGTAACTTGTCAAAACCAAGACTGTTCCTATGAATACAATGAGGAAATACTCTTTAATCGCCTACAGAAGCGTCTTTCTATCAGCATAAGGCACGCAAATCAAACCTTGGGTACAATCAAGATCACGAAAAAGGAGATGATTATGAAATGTTCCAAGCTGTCCCATTTCTATACGCGAGATACCACACATCGAATATTCTAACCACTAGGTGTGATGGAGCAGGGTCATGTTTCAATAATAACTGCAACACCCTCATGCACAATGAAACAATCCCAGAACTAGAATTCGCTTCGGAATTTCCAGGCTATTCCGCCTGCGAGCACACATGCGGCGGGTTGCTCCGCGGGTGCTTTCTTATCACACCGGCATGCTCCTATATTCGCGTAGCGCACATCCCAAAAGATGATAAAATCTACGATGTCATCAGCTGCGTGGAATGGACCCCGGAAATCAGCTTTGAGTTGGACATGAATATTGGGGGCATAGCATTAAGCAAAGATATAGTATTACAACCCTATCTACCGCAGCAGCTTGAGCAGATCACTCTTAATATCATCTCGCTAAGCAAGCCGCACTCCATGCTGATGGATAAGCGTTTCGCAATTGCTGAACATGAAGCTCTAAGTATCCCAAACGGCTACGAGTTACCGGTGGAATGCGAAACGCGGCAGCAAGCAACTGACAATTTCGAAAAGTGCACAAACCGCATGATCTGCGCTTGCGCAACGTTCAAAGTACCAAAAAATTGCCAGTGCTCAACAAAATCGCTAAGCGATGTACGGCAGGATGAAGCTAATATATTGCCAATCCATACAGCAAGCCTACAAATCGCAAAAACGGAGAATGAAATCCTCGCAACAAGTCAGGATGGTGAGGTCACACTAACAATCCAATCCAAGCTAATGGTTGACATCAATCAGTATAGAGTCGACTCACCCTGCTCGATCATATTTGGTTCCATAACCGGTTGCTATGAATGTCAGAGTGGAGCGGAAGTCGTCAGCTACTGCAAGGCGTCTACACCATCATCTGTAACGGTGCTATGTAACGATCACTCATTCACGATCAATTGCGACGAATCCAATCGTACAACTACAACAATACTACATTTCGAGAGAGCAACTGTAGAGCAAAAATGCTATGCAATCTGCGCTCAGAAAAGAATTGAGATCGATTTAGATGGTACATTACACTACCACGCCAGACATCTACAGAGTACTCTATTCGAAATGCAATCAGAGAGTAGAAACTGGATAAATGCGATCAGCGATGTGCATATCCCAGACATGCAACCACTTCTCAAAACGTTAAAAAAAAGAATGGAAGGTAGCCGCAGCGGCCATAGCAGCGATGTCACTTGCAATAGGAATGACATATTTGTGCGGACCAGCAGCACTAATTATGCTAATCAAGGTCGCCTGGACCATGCTTGAAATTGCCTGGGGCATCGCCTCTGCGATAGTGACCTCAACGTTCAAACTGCTGCTCGCTATCCTATCACCGATAAAAACTAGGATACGCGGCTAATCTTTGATGCAAATAAATGAGCAAATTGTACATAGATAATGTATCATATCAAGCTTACATAGATAATGGGTTATAGCAAGCTAACATGTATAAAAACGTCTACACAGATAGCGGTGGTAATCAGTATGCCCGTCATCGCCAAAATCGTCGAAGAAATGGACGTTGAACAACGCCAATCCCCCATCGTCCAGGCTCTAATGGCCATCGATACTAAGCTGGATACTATTCTGAACCTATTCGCGGCCTTGGACGCTCGCCAGCATCGTTTGGAGGCGGCGAACCAA